TGCCAACCGATAACACCTTGTATTATTGCAGCATGGAATTATACCATTTTCCCACGCCACACACCCAAATCAAGAATTTATGGAATTAGGGTCAAAATTCAACGAATCGATCTGATTTTATGTGTGGACAGCTTGCGCAATTATAAATAACTTTTATTATTATCAATTTTGTAAAATATGGCCTACTTTTTAAGAAAAAAAAAAATTTATTTTATATGGAGAAAAACCCATTTTAAGAATTTGAAAGCGCACTTACCACGGATCAGAAATGCGGCTTATGGCACATTGTAGAGGGTATTACTGTCCTCAATTTCTCTGTAGACACCTGTTATATAAGTCTGCGGCCCTAAAAAATACAGACACTTAAAACAATTTTAATAGCAATATTAAAATTAAAGGCATTATAGGGTTAATTACAGTAAATAACACAATAAACTATAAATTTAGACTATCTTTGGATCTGAATCCGGTGGAGATTTGTTTTACTTTGTATACGGATATTTCTCGTGGAGATTTTGAATTTTTTTTAACCGCTTAAGTTTCTTCCGTCAGACACATATGTATGCATTTTAAAATACAGGTAATTTAAATGTGAGTCGGTATATCATAAAATACACTAAGTACAATATAGTCTATGGCCTTCAAATAGTTACACAGAATAAAAAAAAATTACCAATCGAGCCTTGGTTTCACAATTTCCTTGAAAAGGCGAGGAAATGCTTTTGTGTGCAAATACCCTTTTTGCCTGAAGTTCTTGGAGTATGTTGAGATCTTGTAAAAGCTCTACCTACCTACCCTTTGTTTATTTACCATTAATAATCGCTTAGTATATGCTAAAGGAATATTAAGGAAAATAGACAATACGGTGGTTTTGAAGGCGTTACAGGTAGGATAACTACTAGCATTCTTACGAAAAGGAAAAAAATAAACCTTTCCAGATTCTTCGAAACCTTCAAAGGTATATGCAAACATTGAACGACATTCTTACTGAATATAAAGCATCGTTTGCTCTTGAGCTAACCATTACTCTAGTGATTTTATTACTGGAAACATGACGACCTTTGTTACTAATTTGGACATTTTCGTCTTCATACGAGCTAGTACCGATATGAAAAACAGTGATTGTTTGTGCCAAGCTCTACTAAGCCATATACCAAGTGCGGCTGCAGTGACATCTGAAGAACTCGGTATAATCCAAAAATTTTGCCGTAACTATACCGCGCACTTGTAACGAAGATGGCAAAATTCAAGCAGGAACGAAAGCACATTAAAAAAAAAATAATCAAACATGGCTAGAAGCCAATATTTCATGGCCAATAAGTGAAACTTTGGACTTTGCTACAATATTAATTCCGGAAATAATGGACGTTGAAGAACAGCAACTAAGTTCCTTACTCAAGAGGCTGGATCATGTACATCAGATATGAGTACTAATACCCGACGAACAAGGAAAATCCTGTCCCCTTATTAGAACATGATGAAGAAGAGTTGCTGTATGCGTTCGTCGGAAAGCTGAAGGGAAACAACAAAATCGATTTCGCTAATGTTATAGAATACTTATCCAGAGACTCCAGAAAAGTAAAAGATGTCAACGATTTTTTATTCTCATCCTTAAATAAAAAAAACTGTTCCTGAGGATGACACTCTGGCTCTTGTGACGGCGTTAAACTTATCGAAATGGCAGTATTTGGCGTTAAGGACCTTTTTAAGCGACAAGGATATAGTGGCTTTTCCTTCTTATCAAAAATTAATTGTGATGAAGAAGGAATGCTATCCGCCACCAGAAGATATAACTATCACTGAATCAGGAGCACAGATAAAACTACAAGCAATTTTGGATTTAACAGCTGAAAAAATCATGAGTGGCAGATATAAATGACAACGGTGAAGTTATGAAACTTGTTGGCAAATACGGGATGGATGGCGCGCCATTCTGACCCTGCAAGAACAGTGAATATCATTTGACAAATCATTTGAGTGGCAAGACTGATGGAGATTTCTGTCACTGGCTACCTACAAGTTTCTATCAAATTCTAAAGGGCAGTGTGAAAAATCTGATGGAAACTTTTGTGTACGTGTGATGCTTCATCTCCTTCTAACATATACGTTTTGGCATATTGCTAGACTGCTTACTCCCTCTGAGTTCTGCATTCAAATTTGAATCATCAGTGATGTAAATCTTTGACAATTATGAGTGATCAGCCTTGATAGAAATATAAGTCAGCAATGTGCAATCAAATTTGATGTAATACCCGATCAATAATAACACATCAAGTCTGACATGTTTTCATATCATTGCTGATTACTCACAGTTGATGTAAAAATTCGTCAAGTCTGATCTCTCACGCATGATTAGAAATCTATCATTAATGACACATTTAATACTTATTATTTTTTTCTTTTATTTTCGTAAAATCTTATGACCTAATTATTAATCATTAATATGTAATAAGTTAAATAATTAATATCTTACGATTGTTTTTCATAATACACATACACTTGCGATATAAATAATAGAAACGATATATTTCGGTGCATTTCTTTTGCTTATTTATGGCCCCAATATACATGGCGATTGGTGTCCAGTTGCTGGTCTAGTAGCCATAGATACCAGTATCTTTCTATGTATTATGTATAGCGACTAATCTCAGTATACAGAAAAGCGCTGACAACATCCGAATTTAGTTTTTTGACATGTACATTTCGAAGTAATTGGCAGATTTGCTCCATATGTTTTAACAATTTATGTAAACATATTACAAAACCGTCATAAGGGTGAAATACAAAATTGCGCCACTAGATTCTATTATAAAATTCTAGCTAGTTGTATGACAAACGCCATACAAATCCACATTTCAAACGTTGTACATTAAACATTAAATAAACACAAAGGAAATGTAGCCAAAAATTAGTCAGAATAACGCGTTTCTATTAGTTCTGCCACTAGCGTACATATGTACATACATAAAACATATACTGAACAGAGTGGGATTTTTTGTTAAATACTTTTTCACAAAATCTTATAAACTAATTACTGAACATTAAAAAGTTAGTAGCAAACAGATTCATGTCTTACGAACTAAAAATTCAGAAAACCATAAAAACATACATACAGCTGCGTTCAAAATTATGATACCAAAATTCAGAAAGAAAGGTATTGCTTGCACATTAAACATTAAATAAACATTGAACATTAAATAAATATTGAATATTAAAAAATCATTAAACGTTAAAAAATAAAATAAAGGTAATTTAGCGAAAAATTAATCAAAATAAGTCGTTTATATTATTGCTGCCACTAGCGTTCATATGTACATACTTAAATCTAATATTAAAATTATGGATTTCCAGCCGGCTAAGAACTTGCGTTGTTTTTTGATAATTTTTTACAAAGTATGTTAGAAATGTTTTTATATAGGTATATAAATATAAATTAAAAAAATAAATGAATGGTCAGAACGTAAAGTAGTGTCCCTGATATGTGTGCATATTACCTCGTAGGATTGTGTCAACCAGTATGTATGAGTTTGTTCAGTGACTTTCTCCCCCATCTTCCGTCCCAGTTGAATTGCAGCTATGTTTCGTCCGTAAATAAATGTTTAATGACGCTGCCTACGTCCTCAGACACACCTTTTAATTTTATGATATATGTGGCCTTTTGAAAAATATATGTACAGCAATTAGAATGTAAAATAAGCATTTCATCATATAATTCTTTACCATGGCTTGTGCATATTCTGGATCGCTTAATTTGGTTTCCATTATATCTACAGCGCAATCGGACTGCAGTGGTAGAGAACTGGCGATGTCATCTAAATTTTTGTCTCCAGTCATTCGACAAACCGACCTCTCAATCTTCTTTGCTACCACCTTGCATTCTCATACCATCATATTTTGCGCTTCCATTTCACTTTTATTAACGGCCTGAACAAAATATATTTATTACTTTTTTAAATACATACATATGTAAATTTTTATAATACTGATTTCAAATACGACATACGTTTTGCTGAACCTGTTCCAATACCTCGGAGATGTGGATTTGGTTTTGAACAATGGTGGTTTGCTAATGTACAAGGGAAAATGAAAATTATACATGTACTCTTTTTTTAACCAACTTCTTGCTTTGCTTAAAAATTTGTTTGGGTTACAGCACATGTTGGAAAGTGATTATCTTACATTATGGTTAATTATATTTATGCCTTCTATCAAATCGTTTTGGGTTTTTAAGACCACTTTCAAGGTTTCCATAATTTCTGAAACAATGTTTTATATAAATTTAGTAAAAAATTTTATTCAGTTAACATTTTTATATTAAATTACCCTCATTTGAGATATTTGCACTGGTACTCGTACTCTGTTTATTTTCGGTTCCATTATTGTAATCGTTTTTTGTGAAAAAGCGCTTCCTTTTTAGAGATGGTTAGTTAGCTGAAACCGACAAAAGAAAAGAAGAGAGAAGAGTTGTTGAATATTAATGATTAAATAATAGCTATACTTACCCTCATTTGAGATATTTGCACTGGTACTCGTACTCTGTTTATCTTCAGTTGCATTATTGTAATCGTTTTTTGTGAAAAAGCGCTTTCTTTTTAGAGGTGGTTGGTTGACTGAAACCGACAAAAGAAAAGATGAAGGAAGAGTTGTTGAATATTAATGATTAAATAATAGTTATTCTTACGATTAAATTCCTGAGCTGCTGGGATATGCGACTCATCGGAGCTATTGCTAGCATTCAAGTCAAGGCTCATATCGCAAATTGTATTAAAATTTAAATGATTTAAATTATTATTTTGTAAATTATTTTTTTTATGGCAAAATGAAATGAGTAGTTTAATTATGAAAATCGTGAAACAGGTGGTGTAACAGCGGAATCAGCAAATGTTTATTTTCATACGGTATACAAAAATATTTATGATTTAGATCCTCCCTCGAAATCTCAATTTGCACAGTGCTTAGCTGACTTGCAACAACAATTCCCAAACCCGGGAAAGACTGAAGTGGCTCTTCGCAAAAGTTTTCTAATTTTTCAAAGGCATGCCTTGGCAGTTTTTCCGAGTTCGCTGTCTTTATTATACCTATCACCTTGAGAGGACCCGATTTTTGACTAAAACAGTAACAATCTCTCTCTTTATTGTGGTTTAAATTAAATGATCCTAACATTGAATCCCTATTTTCAGAAATATATTCCTGCCTTTCTTCAAGTCTCAACGATATTTGTTGCAAGATCTTATTTGGTTTTTTAATCATCTTTTTTAAATATTGCATAAAATTTTCAAATTTATATGCTGAAATTGAGTCCAAAGGACCAAATCGCTTCACACAATCCGATAGGTGGAGTAATCCATGAACGTTAAAGCTTATAAACTCATCACCATATATTTCACCAAAGTAAGTTACGAAGAGTTCCAATATTTTTTGGGCAACGTCAGCTTCTGTCTCGGATGTCCTTTCACAAGAAAGAAGTCTAATGGCACTATGTAACAGCAAAAAATTGTAGTATAAATCGGGATTGATGGTATCTTTGAGGACAAAAATGCCAGTATAGAGCAAAAACTGCCTAAACTCCGTTGACTTCCAATTGTTCATCTCATCTAAGCTTCTAGCTATGCGACTAAACTCTGAGGGAACAAAACTTGCGATAAAGTTCAACTTCTCATTAATGGAAGTTACATTCCCTCTTTTAAGAAAAAATTTTAATAACTTTTTTGTAACTCCTAGGTCCACTAAGTGCATGCAATCAATCGGAAATCGGGATACCATTCTAAAATCACTTAACTCCAAAATACTTTTTTTCTCTTTAAATTCTGTTAGATGATGAGAAGGATTTCATCTGGATTCAAAGGATGAATCAGTCCCAAGAATGCCAACCTGCTTTGGCAGCATTTGGGACATCCATTTTTTCCGTTGTGCCCAATAACGCCAGTTACAAATGCCCTAGCTGGAGAGTCACACGTAAACAAGCGTAAGTTACATTTTAACCGGTTTGGATTAAGGCCTACTTGAACTCCATTTATTCTTAATAACTTAACATCATTGCAGAAGTCATCCATGAAGCTATCAATATTTCCCGGCTTTTTGAAACCAGAAAAGCAAGCAATCATAAACGGTCTGATATGAGGGGCACCTACAATAGCTCCAAGGATAGGCCAAAGAACGCGGTTTGAACTTTTGAATAATTTTAAACCGTCGACTCCAACGTCAATTAAAACTTCTTCCTTATTTTTTAAACTAGAGATACTAGATGATTTAAAATAGTTCTCAATTCCTAGGTATATAAAATCTCCATCTGGACCCCTGCCAACATTAATTTTCTCTCTGCTTGTATTTAACAAACTTTTGGCAGACATTGGCAAATTCGGTACCCCAATTTTGCATAAAGTTCGCAACAAATCGTCTACAGAATTATGTGAGATATTGTTCCTAATAGCCCACAACCTAATCTCTTCACTACTTTGTACACTTTCTTGCGGGAGCACAGTAATTGATTCAGATTCAGATGGATCTTCAGTATTCTCATCGAATTGTAGTTCAGATGAGTTTGTTGTACTTTCAGTAGATTCTGTACTAAGAATCGAGGGTCCTGGCTGTTCATTTGGATGCACAATACCACTACTTTCTACATTCACATTTTCTGCACTTTTCATTTGCCTTAGAGCTCGCAATTTTTTTACATTGGATTCGTAAATCCGATTTTCTTTGGTCATTGCATTATTATATGCTCTTTTCTTCATTTTAAATTAAATATTTTATAAAACTTATCTTTAATTTTCACAGCACTTTGAATTTCGAGCGGCTTTTCGTTTCGCGACTTTCTTTTCTCCGTTGATGTGCACATTTGAACTTCTTCAGTACCAAGTACATTATAATCCGGTTTTATTTTTTACGTTTGCATACATTGAAATTATCATACCGCAATAAAAACATGAATTTTTACTTACCTTCATTTTTTGCTATGAATGGGGTCCAATAAATGGTAAAATTATAGTTTAAACCAATTAAGTTCAAAATTATATCCAAGTACTTCAGTACTCGAATATTATTTGGCAGGTACAACTACTTTTGTTTAGCACAAAATGCAGCCCTGTTAAATCTTGTGGTTACTATGGCAACCAACTACCGTTACTTCTATCAGCATTGCCACTCACATGATCAAACAAATGTCAGTCATTCGCTACAGGGCCAAAGTGACATATAAAATTTTGCATATGTGTTAGTTTTCGTTGTGAATGTGTTGGAGTTTCTGTCAATCGCGTCTTGTAGGGGAATTACTTTGTTCGCTCCCCTAATTACGATCGCGAATTACCCCATTCCCACGATCACATTCTTAAAGGATTTGACAGTTCTCTGTCTGTTTTGTTTTTGTTTTTCTTCACTGCAAAGTTTATGCAAATTGTAGGTTATTCCTAAAAATTATAAGTTTCCGTATGTAATTAGGGATACACAGATTGATAAGTTTTGATTTGTGAGACAAATGAGGTAGTTCGCTCTCAAATCTTGTATGGCGTATTGCGTAATTCGAAGGGTAATTGGAGTGCGAATTACGAATGACATAGCGAACTACGTAACTGGGGTGTTAGGGGAAAGCCGTATAACAGAATGCAAGCATATACGTATCGTATGAATAATAGGGGAGTTACTTGCTTTCTCTAGCGCCATTATTTTCAAGCATTCCCAACAAAATTTAGGTTTGAGCTCAACTTGAGGTTAAGTTGAGAACTAAGGTATTTCTCAAGTCTCCAACGTTGTTTCTCAACAGCACCTCAAGTGGAGGATCATAGCGTTCTCAACAAAAAGGGCATTTTTCTTTGTATGAAAAAGGACTGTTTCTCAAGTGGAGAAAATGCTAGTTCTCAACTTGAACTCCAATGTAATTCTCCAATTGGTCTCATATATATCATTGAAATACTGAAATTGAAATAGTAAAATACCTTATACCTTTTTGACTGAAACGACATACATAGATGAATTTAAATATTAATTTTTAATTTTATTACTCCTTTTGTATTATGTAGTTAATCAATAACGTATTACAATAATTCACTTCACGGTATACAGTCCGACAGTAATTTTGCCCCTTGATTAACTTCGCGTTTTATTTTCTTTCAAGTATATTTGAGGACACTTTGAAGATTATTTACTTTTTGTTGGTAATTTCCCTCTTTGTATAGCTTTCGTTTTTCACTTGATAATTAAAAATTCGTTCCTCTATCCCATTTTACGTATCTGCGCGTCGGTTAGAGATGAGTTGGAGAATGATGTTGGATATCAACTTGAGAACTATGAATTTCTCCAAGGTTGGAGAAATATTTTTTTTGTGCTTATTGGGTTTGTTTAGATTTGTACATACATACACACATACTACGTTTATGCGTAGGCCAATTCACGAAATTATTTCATGTATTTGGTTTAAAATGGGCCGCATAAACACAATTCAGTGAATTCAATTATACACGAAAATTAATAATTAATTTTGGCGTCATTTTATAAAATCGTGAAGTGCTAGTCCGGCAACGCCACGTTTTACGAACAGCTGTTTTTAGTTTCAAAAGCATAAACATGATTTAAAACATTGAAAAAGTTACGTGGATTTGTTCAAATATGAAATGAATTAAAATAGAAAAAATTAAAATAGATTACAACCATGGCACCAATATAAATATAGAAATATAGCATGGACCTGGTACCTGGTAGATTCGATTCTCAATAAGGTTGTTTGCTTTTTGTGTGAACACTTGATACTCGAATGAAATCTTAGGTATTATTTTTATTAGCAACTTAATACTGCACATAAATTTACAACTATCCAAATATTAAATACGTGCTGCTGAGGCTGCAAAAAAAAGCATAAGAAAAAGAGCAAGGCAAGAAAATGAATTGGGCTATTCACAGTTCGTTCCAAATAGTGTCTCAAAATGTAGACGTCTACATTTAAGACGTTGTCTAACCGTAAAATCTGTGGTGTTGTTGTTTTCCACACAAAATTGGAAAATGACGCCGTCTACATTTTGTCACACTCAAAGGTATGTTTTTTACGCTTCTACATTTTGCACCCTCACAGCAGGCTTGCATTATGGCAATACCAATCATATTTTTTTAATTCATTGGGCACGTTTTCCGTGTTTGAATTTCATTTAAGCGCAATGGCTGCTCAAAACAAACAAATCAAGGAAAAGAAAGAACAAATATTGGCAATTGGTAATAAAGTTAAACAATTAAAATTTTGCGGAACCAAAATCGAAAGACGACATATAAAAAACGAACGCAAAGAAGAATTGTCTGGCAACACCAGTAAAGTTTTGCGACGATTTTGTGACGACTGCTAGAAAGGAGTGCTCACAGTTTGATGCTAAAAAT